AAATAGGAGAGAGAGAACATCATGGTACTTTGGGAGACACCGGAATGTGAAAGTCTGCATATATAGGGTCACATTTTATATACCTTACGAAAGAGTCTGTTCTTTATTTTGTGGACAGTGAAAGATCTTAAGCAGAGAGGGGCGTGATCTCATTTGTGCTTTGTAAAAGTCTTATGGACTGTAGATATAGAGAACTGGAGATTGAGACTATGTTCTAGACCAGAAAAGATAAGAACCTTACCAAGACAATGACCATGAGGTCAAGGAGATCTGTGGAGGAGTTGGTTTTCAATCCGTTGTGTTGGATGGGCATTGTTGGATGGCAAGAATATGGCAGAACTGAATTCTATTTCTAAAAAGGCAATGTAGGGACAAATAAGAGGATGTACTCTTTTAGGACTCTTTCAAAGAGGCGGTTTTATAAATTTGAAGGAACTTTGTGATCACTGTTGTAAGACATTTCTCCTTAAAATGAGAAAATCTAACATTCTAGCAATATATTTCGGTGCTCTGAACATTCATTATCATGTAGGATTGCTGCAAATAGGAGGACTTACTTTCCTTTTCGTTCGTTTAACAACTTCTATTTGCAAAAATTTTGTGTAGGTTAATACAGAGTAAATATGTGTTATTAAGTAACACTAAAAACAACACAAGAGAAGAAATCTGGTTTTCAGTGCCTGACTACAATTGTTTTTCAAGAGGTACTAAAAGTTTGAGGAAAGTCCAGATTTCTTATTTTTAGCATCTTTTCTGGTGAATTCTCCTCCCTTATGTTTGCATAGTGATGGTAGAACCATCTGGAAATGATAGAAATAGCTGTTTGTTGGGGGCAGGGGAGAAGGCAGCAGAGTTCCATTCTATGAATTGCTTTAGTTTCTCCAATTTAATAGCTTGCTGTCTATAAATCGTAGAAGTCACATGAAAGGTTGTGCTCTGAAATTTTTGCCTGTACATTTGAAATATGAAGTTCATGGACTTTGATTTGAATATAGCTATTTCTTCCAACTACCCTTCTGGAAAATGCTTAAATGTTAATGTAGCATTGAGGGAAAGACTTTTTTCTTTAATATCATCTTTACATTTCAGAGCCTCCTGGCTTAAGAATATCCATGAAAGCAAATGTCTCTGGTAATCAGTAAATATTTCCTGAGAAAGAGTGGAAGATTCTTGCATTCTCTTGAAACCCGTAAAACTCTTGAACTAAAAAATATTTTTCAGGGCTATAGCTAACCTCTTAGGTGTGAGAGATACTTGGCAGGTTGGTGGGGGCGGGGGGTGTCGCATGGTGTAGCAATGAAAGAAATTAGAGAATGAAAAGGCCCGACTAGCTGTGTGACTTTGACAAGTTCTTTCTGAAAGAACTTCAGTTTCTTTTTTTTTTTAGATTTTTTTATTTATTTATTTTGAGAGAGAGAGAATGAGAGATAGAGAGCACAAGAGGGAAGAGGGTCAGAGAGAGAAGCAGACTCTCTGCTCAGCAGTGAGCCCGATGTGGGACTCGATCCCGGGACTCCAGGATCATGACCCGAGCCGAAGGCAGTTGCTCAACCAACTGAGCCACCCAGGCGCCCAGAACTTCAGTTTCAAAAGCATAAGGATTGTACTTCATTGTCCCACTGTATCACGCTTAAGATTCCAGATTCGGATTCTTTATAGAGCCTATCTGTTTGAAAATAGAGCGTCTGACTTATCTAACTAATAAGCCATTCTGTCCAGTACAAACTATATGTATTTGGGAGGTCAGTTTATTGTGAGGAGCTGAGGGCGTTTCCCTTGAGGCATTCACAAGGTAATTGAAGCATCAGGATTACTTTATCTACAAATGTCTAAATAATTTTCATATTTTGCTATATCCTTCTGCTGCCACCCATTGTGCAAACTGATAACACATTTAGGAAAGGTCACCTTTGTTTTTTGGTTTTTTAAATTTATTTATTTGTCAGAAAGAGAGAGAGAGCACAAGCAGCGGGAGCTGCAGGCAGAGAGAGAAACAGGCTCCCCCCTGAGCAGGGAGCCCGATGTGGGACTCGATCCCAAGACTCCAGTATCATGACCTGAGCTGAAGGCAGACGCTTAACCGACTGAGCCACCCAGGCGTCCCAGGAAAGGTCACCTTAGAACAACCTTTCGTCAAATGGCATGGAGGATGCTAGAAGTCATTGGTTGACTTCCTTTCTGAGCAGCAGACTCCTTTGTTTCCTAAGTGTGATCGACACAGAGTTGTCACCATCTAAATGGACTGAACTTATTTGGATACCAGGAGGAATTTTTATTTATTCTCTATTAGTTGTAGATAAATTTCTTAGTCATTCTTATGGAAATTATGGTAGATCAACTCTGTTCTGCTAACAGAGTCTCAGTTGGTCCCATCTCTTTACAATAGGAACTTACTTTTCCTTGTTGGAAGAGGAGGGAGTTTGGCTGAAGATGTTCTTTTAGTGTTGACTTCTTTCTAGGATCCTGTTTAGGCAACTGATGGTAAAGACTACTATTCACATCTCACCCTGAAAATGCATGGAGTCATGGTTGGGGTTTATAGTTGTTGTCATTAATATCAGTATGGGAAATGGTTGCTCTTTCATCTGAGGCACTGATGGACACTTGGAAAACTATGCTTGGAAACGTTTATATTCCGAAGCCCACTCTTTTGCTCCAACAGTAGTTATCCCTCCAGCTTACAGTCACCCGTGAAGGTGTCTGCTGTTGCCAGCTAGCTGTAAAGGTGGGTGCTGGGGAATAAGCAGTCCCAGAGAGGAGAGTGAGGGGCATCCAGCCCAGACCTGCATGGGCATGTACCCTCTTACTTCACAAATCTTCTTAGTTGTGGCCTAGGTAAGGGAAATAACTTATTACACGTGGCTCACTGGTGGCACAGCTAAGTCTAGTCTGTCTCAAGACGTGACTTTGAAAATGGATTGAAGAAGATGGCAAGGGGATCTGCAAATCACACTCTGGTACTTCCCCTGTCTTCTGTACTCTGGAAATGCCAAGCCTTACCATAGGCTCTGGTTGTCTTTTCAGGCACCCTGGTAAGAATATAGAGTTAGGGAATGAGGGGGGAGGGTGTAAGAGGCAGAGGTGGGACCTTCATACCACTGAGACGGAATGTCCCTGATGGGGGCATACAACTTCCCCTCCAGGAATTGTCCCTGTGGCTTAGGGAGGAAGTGGTGCTCTCTTTGTGCTGCCAAGAGGCAAGTAGAAACAGAGGGGCTGGAGGCTCTGGAAGCTCTGTCTTGTGACCTGGCACCAGGGGAGGCTGTCTGCCTGGCCCGTTACGTGGAGTCACAAGACCTCCGAGGTACAGTTTTACAAAAGCATGTTCTCCTCTCCTGTCAGAGCTCACACTCAGGGCACACTTCGCATTGTCCATTCCGCAACTCTAGGTGGATGGCCCTGGTTGTGATCTGGTGGCTACTCCAGTAATAGCCTTATCTCTGTCACTGAGTGACTAAAGAGGCTGCAAACCCACCTGTAAGAGTGGTTTTAAAAGTTTTGAAGATAGTGGAAAAACCCTGGAAAGTATTATAACTCTGCCACAGAAGAAAACAGATTGTTCGGGGTCCTGCCTATCCCCTCATTAAAAAAAAAAAAAAATTTTCTCAGTAGGTTGCCAGCCACTGCTGAATAGCCAAAGAAATTGTGCTTTTGAGCTGCTTGCTATTTCTAGAAACTTTAAAGTTAATTCCAAAGTAACAGGGTGGAGACCAAAAAAGGAAGAACACTATTTTATGGTGCTTTTAGCAAAGGTAAAATATTTACCTCAGGCTCAGGGCAGTCAGCTCTGTGGGAATGGCTGGTACGAGTCGTCCGGCTCGTGGCAGCTGGGGGAGGACCTGATCATTGCAGGTGGTGCTGACACACACAATTCCTTTCTCACGCCCCAGCTCCTCTCGTTTCAGCTGACAAATATTTCTTGAGCTCCTGGTAGACGTGCAAACTGCCAGGTTAAGTACTGACCTCCCCTTTCGAGCTCATTTTTGTTGTTAGCCAGCCTTCTGAGTGAACTTCAGTCTTCATTCAGTGGCCTTCACTCCCAAGTAACAGCTCATGTTATCTTTCAGGTCTTTTTCTTTTTACTTTAGAAAACATTGTTTTTGTTCATTTTTTTTTTTAAGATTTTATTTATTTATTTGTCAGAGAGAGAGCACAAGGAGGGGGAGTGGCAGGCAGAGGGAAAGGGAGAAGCAGGCTCCCCGCCGAGCAAGGAACCTGATACGGGACTTGATCCCAGGACTCTGGGATCATGACCCGAGCCAAAGGCAGATGCTTAACTGACTGAGCCACCCAGGCGTCCCTCCTTTTGTTCATTTGTTGTTGTTTTAAGATTTTATTTATTTATTTATTTATTTATTTATTTATTTATTTGAGAAAGAGAGAAAGCAGGAGGGAGAAGGAGAGAGAATCTGAAGCAGACTTCCTGCTGGGTGCAGAGCCCAACTCAGGGCTCGATCCCACCACCTGAGCCAAAACGGAGTCTGAGGCTTAACCGACTGAGCCACCCAGGTGCCCCTCCTCTTGTTCATTTGTTAAAACTTATGATCCTGATGTTGACTTCCAGGTTGAAAAAGCAACATCTCTGAGGCAGTATGGAGCCCTCCTGATTCTGGACTCCAAGGAGCAGGGGCGCAGCTATAGCAGTAATCCAACATGGATTTCTGTTGGATTGGGCATTTTTATATAGCATTTTCCCACAGCATAACTACCCCCTGATGACACCTTGTAAAGATGAACATATACTCCCTTACACCAGGTGAGAGTTGGCCTAGAAAAACTGGGATATAGAAAATCCATCATGAGAATAAATCAGATGCCTGGGTCCTGGTCATAAATCTGCTACTAACTAGTATGTGACCTCTCTTATCTAGCCACCACTCGCCACTCCCCGGACGATCTCTAAAGACTTCAGCAGTTCTGAGCCTGATCAGTCTTTGCATAATTACTTATGGATATATGAAAATTATACCAGGCAATGACATGTTCTCTTTTCCCTACAGAGTGAAAGCTGCCCAGACTGAGTTAGGACAGCAAATCCTCGCTGATTTTGAAGAAGCATTTCCTTCCCAGGGCACCAAGGTATTGTTTTCCCTCCAGTCTTAGATGTTATCACCATTCTTGCCTAATTCACACTCTCTACCGTTACCATTCCAAAAGTGTCTGCTGGCAGCTGTAAGTCTGTTTGCTAGAGGTTCGGGGTAGTGAGACCATCCTTGATTTTAAATATCCCAAAGCAATGTTGGTTCTTCATCTGTGTTCTTCCAGCATCAAAGAGTGAGGATTTATTTTGGTTTAATTTAATATGTGTCAAACCTAATATCTCATCTGCCCAGCAAATTCCTTTTTTCTCATGGCTGTGTTAAAAAAAATTTTTTTTTCAAGCCTCAATGTTTTTTAGAATCGTTACATAACTTATTGGTTTCAGTTTGGTGAAAAGACAGCTGGGAGGAGCATCCACAGGCTTATATAACTCTCAGAGTGACACAGTTAGGAGACTCACTTTTAATGATCAGAATCCTGTTCTTTGGGATTAATCCCTTTAGCTCTTGCTGGTGGCGTGGCTGTTTGTGTTGTGTCTGCGAAGGCCATGGTATTTCGCTTGTGAGCTATGGTTACACTTCTCCCATAACAAGCTTTGCCTCTCTTGGCTGTCACTGCGCTTGGGTAACTGCTTTTAGCTCTATCTTTCAAACTGTAGCAGATGTAATCTTAATGCTTTGCATGTGTTGGGGAGAGAAGAACCTTCAGAAGCTTTTTTTCTCTATTATTTGAGCTATTTCAAGAGAAGGAATTATTCAACACAAAAATAAACCAAAGCACACACAGGCAAACAGTGTTCCTCACTGCACTTGGTGGGTGGAGATGGGGATATATGTTCATTTACTGAGCCAAGGAACATTTCCTGGACCTGCTCTTTAATTCAATAACTGGAAATATCTTAATCATTTTTCTTTGTGCTCCATAAAAGAAACTTAGGAAGTAGGTGGGGGTAGCTGCCCCAGCTTTGTAGATTACTTCCTATAGGAAACCTGCTCTTGATTTGTTTTTTTTGTTTTTGTTGTTGTTAAAGATTTTATTTATTTATTTGACAGAGACACAGCAAGAGAGGGAACACAAGCAGGGGGAGTGGGAGAGAGAGAAGCAGGCCTCCCGCTGAGCAGGAAGCCCAATGCGGGGCCCGATCCCAGGACCCGAGCCAAAGGCAGACGCCCAATGACTGAGCCACCCAGGCGCCCCCCTGCTCTTGATTTTAATGTCTGAATATATTATGGCTGCCTTCTAGTAATCAGATATTTTATTTGTAAGACATGTTCCTTTCAGGACTTTATGTTCCTTATTCATTTGATATAACTGTGGGGAATGGATATTGGAAAGCCATTCTGTAAAAAGGGATTGCAAGATATTCACAAATTATAAACACCAGACTGTTCTGAGCCCAGGGTCTGCTTTACTATACTCTGGTATCTAGCCCAGTTTCAAGAAGTTTCAGAAAGATATGAATGAAGCCCAGCTTTATTGTTTAGAAGAAACTAATCGTGACCTACTTTATGTCTTTTTCTCAGATCCCACCAAGCAGATGAAGTTAAAATTGTTTTCTTTAACAACTTACTTCCTTTTTCTGTAGCTGGGTAACTTAATCTTTTTTTTTTTAAGTTTTCTATTCTCCTTTTCAGTGACTATGGACTTTTTTTTTTTTTTTTTTTGACTATGGACTTTTCTTAAAGGCCTTGTGTGCTATTCCTATTTCACAAATAGAAATCAAGACATTAAAATTGTACAAGGTAACCTACTAAGTCCTTTTTAAATAAAAATATCTGAATCCATGAGCCCATCAGTTTCAGCTTCTGTGACTTCTCTATCAGATCAAACACTTTCATCCAGAAGCAAGAGGTGAGCAGTCAGAGTGCTCAGCAGATGACATAACAGCATTCAGCACAGAGTGAGTCAGCATCTTAACAATTTAGCTCTCAGGCAGCTTAGTAACACTTCTAAAACTCTTGAACTTCAGTCGAGACAGATATAGTATTGGACAGAGAATCATAAAGATTTGGAAGAACATTAATCGTCACCTAATTGAAGTTCATTTTTTTTTCTCATTTATTTTTCAGATGAGTTTCAATAACTGCGCCAAAGCTACACAGCTATTTAGCCAAGCCAAGAGTAGCTTCCAGGTGTTCTTTTTGCTCTAGTCCACTCAGCCAACCATGTTCATTCAGTGAGTTACCATAAAGAAAAGTTCGGCAAGACTGGATTACCCTCAGTAATAACAAAGGCCTTCCCATCGTGATGTATCAATATGGCCCCTCAATAGCCTTCTACTGCCTTTCAGATCAAGGGACTGATATCATCATATTTGACCTCTGTCTACCTGCGTGGGTAGTTGACTGTCAGCAAAACAGGTCTGGCAGTTTGGAACCTCGTTTTAGATTTTAAATGCCACTGCAGTGTTTGGCACAAATACGGCACTTTAAGAACAGGAATCTGAGGTTAGAATCAGGGGAAAGTGGCACGTGTGGAGTGAGACTGGTGTCCTTCTGAATTGTATGGCTCTTCACCAAGGTGATTTCAGTTTTTGTATTCAGAAAGCAAAATTTCCTATTGCTCACCCTGTTTCCAAAATGTCTCCTTGCTGATTCACAGAGTAGCTTTTATATTGGCTACTGCAGACTAGCTTAGTAATTCTTGCATTGAGTAACAAGTAACTAAAATATCCATCCACAGCGAAAGAATAAGTGTCAGGGGAGTGCAGGTAATAATAACTTCAAGAGAGGAACAAGAAGTTAACAGCTGTCAGAGGCCGTGAGATTTAAAGATTGTTTCTGGCTCTTGAACTGGTGTGTGTTGTTTGTTTTACCAGAGGCCAGGAGGACCCAGCAATGTCCTACGAGATGCGTGTCTGGTTGCTAATATTTTGGATCCCAGAATCAAACAGGAAATCATCAAAAAGTTTATTAAACAGCATCTGTCAGAATATCTAGTACTTTTTCAAGAAAACCAAGATGTAAGTATTGACCAAATGAAATCAATGTTACATTTGAATTTTACTGAAAATTAAATGCCCTCAAGTCTGCTGATTCATATTTTAGTAGTATTACTGCCTTAAAATGTTGATGTTTGAACTGTGACTTTAGGGGCTGACTGTACAGTTCAGTGGTTCTTAACCATTTTGAGGTCACTGACCCTTTGGAGAAAATAATGGGAGCTACAGATCCTCTCCCCAGGAAAATGTACCTATGCATAAAACTTTGCATATACAGTTTCAGGAAATTTACAGATCCCTGAAGTCTAATCGTAGACCCAAGTTAAGATCCTCTGGATCAAGTGAAAAAGTAGCCTATATTCTTTAAAACTGTGAGAAATAGGGGTGCCTGGGTGGCTCAAGAGCGAGACTCTTGATTTTGGCTCAGGTCATGATCTCGGGGTTGTGAGATCCGTCGGGCTCCGCTCTGGGTGTGGAGCCTGCTTGGGATTCTCTCTCTCCCTCTGAGAGAAAGAAAGAGAGAAAGGGAAGGAAGGAAGGAGAAATAAAGCAAAATTGTGAGAAAGTAAGAAAAAGAAAAATGAAATAAAATTGTGAGAAAGAGATTGGTTGTGTTTTTCTTGGTTCTGTTTTTGTTTATTTCCTTAAACTGTGAACACTACTTCTGAGCACTGGGTGGATTTTGTTCCCTACCTTCCTAAGGTTGCCTGGCTGGACAAAATCGACAGACGCTATGCCTGGATAAAACGCCAGCTTGTGGACTATGAGGAGAAATATGGTCGTATGTTTCCACGTGAGTGGTACATGACCGAGAGGATTGCAGTAGAATTTTGCCATGTCACAAGGTAGATTCCAGCTCTATTGGTTTTATTGTTAATTGAAATCGGTTGGTTGAAATCAATCCCCTGGTCTCTAGGGGTTCCATCTTGTCTTGTGGATTGGGTACCACTTCCACTTTTTTTTATTGTTGTTTGAGAGTCATCATTTTAATGAGAACTTCTTCACCCGTGCTGGGCTCTCTCCCTTTAGAAGACCCTTTTCCTGTTGAAAGTCAGATTAACCCAAAACCAACCCCTAAACTCCAGCTGCAGCTGTATTCCAACTTCTCCAACTTCAGAGTTCCAAACCTAGAAGAGAGGACATGTACGTGGAGGAAGAGTAAAAACTTCTAGGAAAAAAGTGAAAAAGGGTACACAAGAGTCCTGGGCTAGTAGCCTGTAGTCAAAGCACTTTTTTTTTTCTGAAGAGTAATATATATAAAACACAGCAGCTTCATCTGCTCCTGTCTTTGCTCTAAGACTTTCCTGTAGCTTGACCCTTGCCTTGAACAGCCTGCCTTCTGGACTTAACCTAGTCAAGGATCATCCACCAGATATCCCTGTTATTCAACACCCCACATGTTCTCCTGCTATTATATATATCAGTATACAGTGTATATATCTATCATCGTTTTGCTTCTCTGACTTGCTACATGCATTGTTCCATAGGGACAGTTCCATACACTGAAGGGGTAGTTCTACTTCAGTGACAGTCAGGAAATATCTGCTGAACAAATTTCCTGCCCCTAATGCAGTGTATTTGTAGTCTTTGGATAGTTAATAATATCGGCATCTGAATGTTCTAAGCATCCTAAAGACCTCTTGTCATTCATCCTGTCTCTGCAGTTTCATGAATGTAGCCCAAGGCCAGACAGTCCATTTATATTGAAGAGATAAAACCCAAGGTTAGATCGGTGTGTCCATGACAAAGCTAAAGCTAGAGTCAAATTTTTTTTATTTTTTACTTGCAGCTGTACCACAACAGTGGTAGTAACTGGGTTTTATTAGTTATCTGTGGCCTTCTTTTTTTTTTTTTAAGATTTTTTAAAAATTTATCAATGAGACAGAGAGAGCATAAGCAGGAGGAGGGGCAGAGGGAGAGAGAGATAAGCAGACTCCCCACTGAGTGGGGAGCCCATCATGGGGCTTGATCCCTGGACCCTGAGATCAAAGTCAGATGCTTAACTGGCTGAGCCACCCAGACACCCCAGTTATCTATGCCCTTCTCACAGTGCACAATTACATTAACTCCAGGCTAATTCTTCAAAAAAGTCCCATGTCTAAGCATAACTCAGCCACCTTAGAATAATTCATGGTATGCATCTTTCTTAAAATCAGAGAATATAATGAAGTTGTATGCTTTAAACACACGGGGGGGCAGATTTCTTAAGGGATATTGGCTATTGGCTTCACTTTTTTCTTGAATAGACTTTATATTTTAGAGTAATTTTAGGATCACAGCAAAATTGAGAGGGAGATACAGAGGTTTCCCCTACACTCGTGCTCCCACACATGCATGGCCCCCCTACCATCAGCATCCCCCGCCAAAATGTACATTTGTCACAATTGATGAACATGCATCAACAGATGATTATCACCCAGAGTCCACAGTTTACATTAGAGTTCACTCCTGGTCTTGTACATTCTGTGTGGCTGTTGTTCTCAGAAGCACATTTGCTACCATAGGTTTAGATGACCTTTAAATGTTGATTCAAGGACAATTGTGCTTGTCACTTCGAAGTCCTGATTAGCAAAGAAAGCAAATTCCTTGAGAAATTGATAACTAATTCTCTTTAGCCTACAGTTCAGTGACTTGCAAACTAATCTGTGAATACTGCAGTCTGCAGAAGACAGGGAGTCTGCTGAAGCCACAAATCTGCCCTCGTTGTGTCGGCTAATGGCTGTGTTGTGGCTGTTGCTGCCAAGCTTTCATTGCTGGAATTTTGGCTAAAATCCTACAGATACATAATTTCCAAAGAATCGCAGAGGCTCTTTGTTTGGTTTTGCCATTTCTTTGTATGGGAAGATAACCATGGCTCAGTACTTCCTAAGAGCTCTCAGGTCACTGGTCCCTCACAGCTCCCATTCTGAAGCACAACACTGGCGTGGTACATAAGCTTCGCAGGCACTACCCACCTGAGCACGTACATGTCACTTTTCACATGGGGGTTCTCGTCTCTCACATGTATTTCCGGGGTTCCTGCTCTCTGGTTGAAGAGATGGTGATTGAGCTCTTTGGAAGAGGGGGCTTTGTAATTTAGTAGTTAATGACTTACGATGGTACATAAAATATATGCATTTTTATAAAATACTGAGTGCTTTCGATATATATTATTAACAAATTACGGAAAGGTTGAAAGATCTAAAAATAGTAGTGACCATGTAAACAAATTGATCTCTCCTTAATCCTTGATTTTTTTTTTTTTTTGACTAGTGGATAATTTCACCTTCAAACTCTTAATTAGAGTATGTATTTCTATTCTCGAAACAGTAAACTTGGTAACAGATCTCAGGATTTGAAATGACCACATAATTTTTTTTTTTATATATATAAGCTAAAACCGTTTACTTTATCCTATCTTGAACAGTTTTTTTTTTGACAACATTCTTACCTCTTTATTTTGAAGGACAGAACTTGCCAAGATTATGCGTACCAGAGCTAAGGAAATTGAAGTGAAATTGCTTCTTTTTGCTATTCAAAGAACGACTAACTTTGAAGGGTTTCTTGCCAAACGCTTCTCCGGGTGCACCCTGACAGATGGAACTCTGGTAGGACCTTCCTGAGGGAGGCTGGAACACGAAATCAGGGGGCCGGGGGGTTGGGCTTCAGTTCAGTCTTTCCTAGTTTGGTGGTTCCATCCAGTGGCTCGAGTGCTCAGTCCCTCATTCCAGGGATTTCACTAAATTACGTGAATGGTGATGGAGAGTACTCTATGGATTTAGTGTTTTCTCTTATGCAGTATTTCAAGTTTTTAGAACATCCTGTCATTTATCTGAGTAGTGGCCCCATTTTACAGACTGGTGATTTTGTGAGAGAGTACGTGGAGAAGCAAAGAATTATTTTTTCATTTTATTCTGGTATTTTGTTTGAATTTTTCTTTTTCTTTTTTTTTTTGAAGATTTTATTATTTGACAGAGACACAGTGAGAGAGGGAACACAAGCAGGGGGAGTGGGAGAGGGAGAGGCTCCCGCGGAGCAGGGAGCCCGATGCAGGGCTCTGGGACCATGACCTGAGCTGAAGGCAGGCACTTAACGACTGAGCCACCCAGGCGCCCTTGAATTTTTCTTATACAAATGCATTTACATAGTTTTTTAAAAATACTTTTTGTATTTACGTGCTTTAATAAAGTTATTTTTCATTTTTTTTAAAATGAGGGAAATGAGCCAAAACTGACTATTTAAAGAATTCTAATGTGGAATCCACACAGAATAATAGCTAACATTTTTTGAACATCCTCTGTGTGTCCCACACTGTGCTAGGTGCGTTTACCTGCGCTCGGTCACTTTGCTTCATCAGCTATAGGAGGGAGGTGTTATATTCATTTCAAACTTAACAGTGGTCGCACAGCTAATATGTAAATGCAGAAAAACAGCTACTCTGGATGAGGCAGGGAAGTAAGAGCAGAGATTGGGCCTGGAGTCCTGTTCACTTGTTCACCCTTCACCTCTACTACCTTCTCTAGCCCCCATGCTCTTAGTCCTAAAATCCTGGGACTTCAGTGGAATCCCCTCTTTGCCTCCTTGTAAGACCTGCCTCAGAGTAGGTGCATCAGGAGCTGGTCCCTCAAGACACTGGGCTGAAGAGTGGTGGCAGCAACACTCAGTTTTAAGGCAAGACCATAAGGCCGTATCTACTTAGGGCCAGTCATGACTGTATTGAAATAAAATACAAGGAACCACAGAGCATTATTTCCATACTGAAAAAATAAAAATACATACGTATACTCCTCTGCTTGTTACCTCATGTTCAAAACTGGTTTGTGTTTAGTAACGAGGAAAGAAATAGGCCACGAAACAAATGAAAATGCCCTTAAATAAGATGCAAGTCACAAAAGGAAATAATAGGTAATGGCAATGCGATTGAAAGAAGAATGTGTCTCTCTCCTGAGAAGTATTTGGTTGACTTCAGCAGTGCCTGACAGCCTCATGTTGGCCCTCCTCTCTGCCCTACCCGAGCTGTGTTTCTGGCCTGGTTTCAAACAGACACTCATGCAGGTCTGGGTTCAGCCCTACAGAGATCTGCCTGGGGACAGGAGGTTTAAGCATTGAGCATAGACCCCACCTGGGAGTGTGCCCCTGTGCGCCCATGGCTTCCAGCTGGGCAGGGTCAGAGGAGCCTAAGGATGGGTTCTGTAAGCCAGTATTCCAGTTAACCGTATGGCAAATAGATCCCAATCAAGGCTGCTTGGATAACATTAGTGCCAAACACCTGTTTTGAACCCTTCGTCTCCTCCCTTGGCTGGGCCCTACTTCCCAGTGATTTTGCTTTTACATTTAGGGAGCTATAGGATTACAGGGGAACAAATGGCCCTGTTGTATCTGATGACCAGGATAGCCTGTAAACTTGGATGTGTCCCAGGACACATCACATCTTGTTTGTGCTAGGAAATGCCTCACAGGCCCAAAGAGGTAGAGTAATGTAGGCCAGGAAGGCTCCCTCTGGACAAGGTGAGCCTATTGAACAGGATAACCATGTACAGACCATGAAAAACTGGCAGGAGCTGTTTGAAGACCACGCTTTTTTTTTTTTATTGAAAATAGGTACCGGAATGTCAGAGTGGCAGCTGGTCCACAGTCAGCACCTTCTGTCTGAGGGAGGAGAGGGCTTGGAGATGCTTGTTTCTCAGGACCGTGCGCTCTCTGCACTTGCGCTCACTCTGCAGGGCCAGGCTCCTGGACTGAGCCTCCCATCTCCTGGCACATGCTGCGCTCTGTGGGGTCAGTCATGGTCAGCTGGGAACACTTGAGCCTTTTGGGTTTTTTTGTTTTGTTTTGTTTTTTTCTGTCTTCTGTTTTGGAAATTTTCTGGCATAATTGATTTATAAATTTCTCCAATTGTTCAGTTGTTGCTTCTCCCTATCAAGTTTGCAGAGAGTTTCAGATTACAACTCCTTGGCCAGAAAATCCTGCTAAGCCATAAACTCTTCATACTCCCCTACCAATGGTCAGTTATCTTTTCCACAGATTTTTCCAAATCATTCAACTTCTTTAGATCATACTCTTCCCCTGGACCACTCTTTGTCCTAGTTATTATGACCCAGGAACCATTCTGCATTCCAAGTCCTGGCAGTGGCTGATCCATAACCTTTAAGGATTTTCCCTCCAAGGTTAGTTTCTAGAAAGGCAGCGGAACTCCTGTGGTCTCCTCAACAAGGCAGGCCAGGTCTTAGAGAATCAGTTCACTGCAGCCCTGCCTTGGGAATATGTAAATGCTGTGCTCCTTACTGTAGGTGCTGTTCACTCTGAGCCTGGCCTGCCATCACCTTGCTGTGGGCCAAGTGGGGCCACACCTTCACCTGCAGCCTGTAGGCCTCATGAGCAGGGCCGCTGGTGGATTAGTCATGGCCATGACCATGCTCCCAGCAGTGCTGGGAAGAGGTGGCCTGGGCTGGGCTGGGGGTCCAAGTGGCCTGACACCACAGTCTAGCTGCTTGGCACCCCACCTGAAGACTTGCTGCTCCTTGTCTTCTTACCTCCTCCCTGTGCTGCCTTGCTTTTTGGAAAATCGTTTGTGGTTGCCATTTTATTTCAGGGCATCAGAATAAACTACAGAATGAACCAAGGTATATCTTGTTACCCTGTAGCACATGCCAAATTTCATAGAAGGTTGTGAATTCCTTGCAAAGTTAGAACAGATAAGTCAGCCAAGGAGTCATGTTGACCAAAGACCCTCCCAGGCCCACCCACCCCTTCTTACTGCACTGTTCAGATCCTTTTAAGCCCCTTGCTGACTGATTTAACAATTAGGGTGAGCTGGAGAGATGATGAACTCACCTGGAAGGCTGTGCTACAGTCCAACTCCTCCTAACTGATCAATGTGATGCGTCGTCTTTGGCTCTTTTTTGACAGATGCGACTTTGACATCTGATAGAGATGGAAACTGAAAGAACATTAAGGACAGGCCTTGTCTTGTTTTATAGTACTAGCCCTAACACATTTACAGTGCTGCCATTGCTTTTTGCTAATTGCCTAAACTCCTGGCCCTTAAGAGGGATTCAGAATACTCTGTAAATTAAAATGCCTTAAAATTAAAAGCAAATGTCTGGATGTGATTTAACTACACCTACATGCATTCTTAGTAACTCAATGATTAGATTCAAGGTAAACATTATATTCAACCTCTACGAAAACAGAGTAGGTTGGGTTAAGTGTTTGTAACAGGCTCACTGAATTTGGAAGTTTTTGGGTTTTTTTTAAATAAAATTGAGTTTTATTAAAAAAGCATTGTGGTCTGAGAATATGCAGGGAATAATCTCAGTCTTTTGGTATCGGTTGAGACCTGGTTTGTGACCCAGTATGTGGTCTATTCTGGAGAAAGTTCCATGTGCATTAGAGAAGAATGAGTATTCTGTTGTTTTAGGGTGGAACGTTCTGTATATATCTATGAGGTCCATCTGGTCCAGTGTGTCCTTCAAAGCTCTTGTTTCTTTGTTGATTTTCTGCTTAGATGATCTGTCTGTTGCTGAGAGTAGAGTGTTGAGGTCTCCTACTATTAACGTATTATTATCAATATGTCTCTTTATTTTGGTTAACAGTTGGCTTATATAGTTGGCTGCTCCCATGTTGGGGGCATAGATATTTACAATTGTTAGATCCTCTTGTTGGATAGATCCTTTAAGAATGATGGGGCACCTGGGTGGCTTAGTCATTAAGCGTCTGCCTTCAGCTCAGGTCATGATCCTGGCTGGGGTCCTGGGATCAAGCCCCGCATCGGGCTCCCTGCTCGGCGGGAAGCCTGCTTCTCCCTCTCCCACTCCGCCCTGCTTGTGTTCCCTCTCTCAC